CTGCGTTCATACTTTGCGGCAGCGTCCACTAGCGTTTCGAGCGTCCGGCAGCGTCAGCGACTGGGAAAGTATAAATATCCGTCTAGCGTCTGTCAGCGTCTCCTAGCGTCCGCCAACGTCTAACATCCTCCACCAGCGTCTCGAGGGCCGGGGAATAAGTATCGATCTAGCGTCTGCCAGCGTGCACCAGCGTCTTACCAGCGTCCGGGGAGAAGAGAGCATGGCGCCACAGGAGGGTGCAGACCGCCCTGGTACTCTTCTATCACGCCATACCTCCCAGTCTACTACCCGCTAATCCTCTCCTATCTTACCAGCTTGTCCACTACGTCGTACCTCCTCCTCCCCGGACGCTGGTAGACGCTGGAGCACGCTGGCACACGCTGGTAGGCGCTATATCGATACCTATATTTCCCAGGCCTTCAAGACGCTGATGGACGCTGTCGCACAGTATGAACGCTGCCTACCGTCTCAACTATATTCCATAATAAAACTTGCTATGAATTCTTTGTTTATTACTGTCCAATGAGTAATTTGATTTAAGCTTTACCTTTGGTTGGGTCCATCTCTCTACCCTGATGCAAACTGATTACTATGTCTCACTGCGGTAAGGCAGCGTTCAGACTTAGACGGCGGCGTTCGTAGGATCGATTGTGTCGCGCGAGCGATCGAGTCGTGCGGGCGACGAAAACTCTGCGCGATGCGTGAACGCTACCTAACAATGCACTAGCAAGTACAACAATTCTACTTGTGAAATTTGAAGCTCCAATTTTTTCCCCTTGTAATTTGACCTTTCGGCATCCTTTTGTACTACTCAGACTAATAACGGTACCTCCCTTTCTTACATCTACCGTCTGAACGTTAAACTTTTTTGCGTGACGGTTCAGTACAGCGATTCTATGGAGCACTGTAAGTAAACAATTGAAAAAATGGGTAAAGGCGCATTTCCGCTAAGTGAGGGCATTTTGCTGGTTCCAGTCAATTGCTGCCGATGCCTTGTGGGGATCCGTGAACACTGTGGAGCTGTGCAGCGACAGCACCCTTGTCAAGAATTTCCAGGTCTCGCCGCGTTGACGTGTGTGTAACTCAACGAGAACTAGCAACAAAAACTGCAAAATGCCCCTCCTAAGCTGAAAAGCGCTTAAATTAATCAATAATAAATATTATTTTCCAAGATGGCTGTTATGGATGATTTCCGGTGAGGCGAAAAGGGCACAGCGCCACTTTCAATGCATGGCGACATTACACCATTCCGTCTACAAATGTGCCGTACATATGATGTGCAGTAAACGACAGCGATTTGACCGTCAGAAAATTGCACCAAAAAACTTTAACAAAACCACATGTGGTGCACGTGGAGCGGTGTGTACTTTTGCTTCTATTGCAGGGCTCCAGGAAAATGCGACACACTGGGGTTGGCCGAATTGGGCACAATGTGTGATGCTGGTAAAAGCTGTGCTATCATCGAGGATAATGGACTTAGCGCCGCGTTCACCATCGCCCATGAACTCGGACACATGTGGGTGGAGTTTGCCACACGACACTGTCATTGCCACATCTTGAAGATGTTTTCTGCTTTCAGCTTCAACATTCCACACGATGATGAACGGAAATGCGCACAGTACATGCAACTGGTCAAACACAACTTTCACATCATGGCACCAACCCTCGAATACAACACCCATCCGTGGAGCTGGAGCACCTGCTCGAGCGCCATGCTTGAGCGATTCCTTGAGTGAGTGCTCAACGGAACTCAATCACCTGTTCCTCAAATTCTAGTTGGGATTAGGAATATACAAAAAATCAGAAAAAAGGAACGATAGAAGATGAAAAAATCATGAGAAGGTCAATCTTTTAGTCGTCAAAAATGGCCCACAGACCTCCTCTTTTGGAATATGTCCCTCCTTTCCTCATTCAATGTGCCAGAAATTTCACACAAATTGTAAACAAAAGTATGCTACCCTGGGATAAGTAGGGTACAGCATAGTTACGGCAATCTAATCGGGGGGGGGGGGGGGGAGACGAAGGGAGAGACTGTATAGATCGGGGAGGGGGGAAGGTCGTCTTTGGTCGCTGGGATTGTATCTGACTTTCAGATAATCTTTTCGAGCCGTAAGAGAATTTACCCGGTCGTTGACTCTCTGCGATCCTCCCCCACCCCTTAGGCTACCGGCGCCACACTCTACTGTGCAACTACTGCTTTTGACAGCTGATTTTGGTAGATAATTGGGGAAAATAGAAAACTGGAAAAATTGGTAATAAGGCTGGAAATCTTGGTGGGAAAGGTTGTGAAAGGGGTTTCGTACCGTAGGGAAACTTGGATAGAGGGCGAGCAGGGGGAGGGGGTGGTCGTACTGATACCGCCATTTCACTGACCTCGATGCTGTACCCCGGATACAACACCCATCCGACAGATCGATGCCTGAGCGGTCTTTTGAGTGAGCATCGCCGGTCCATCATAACGTAAAGCGTGGAGCCAAAGTAAAGCTTGAAGAAAGTGCAAGTTGTTTAATTTTCAAGTGAGAGCCAGCAGCACTGTTTGTGAATCCTTTTTGTTTTGATCGAATGATCAGCAGTTTTTCCTTTTTTGTACTCGGAAAATGATGGCCGCCACACGCATCATTACACATCAGTGAAAAAAAATGAAAAATTTCTTCCATAAAGAAAGGGCAACGACTCGAAAGTGGAACGCCCGTTCTTCATTAGGGACAGGTTTCTCCTTTCCTTTCTAATTTCTTCATGAGAAGACACTTCAAAATTGAGGGAACTTCATTTATTTAAGCAATCATCGCGGTCAAATTCAATGCCTCTTCGATCAGCCGATTCAAAGAAAATACTATGAGCAGCTGTTTGAAGATGATGCTCCCGGAAGAAAGTACGATGTCAGCCAGCAATGTAAATTCGTCTTTGGTCCACAATCAGAACTCTGCCCTTACATGGTAGGTACTTGTACTTGAACGGTATCCTTTTTGATGTTGTTATGTTGTTATGCTCCTACCACGAGCGTGTTAAATGGCAATTCCATTTGGTCGATATTTCGACTTTTCTGCTGTTTGTGAAAGTCTACCACACGATGAGGGGAGACGGTCAAGACAATCGTAATTTGCCGCTCTGTCGCGCGCGAAGATGCGCGCCCCGTTTTCCCACTTGCGTTAGTCTGTTGATGGAGCACCGGGTTTCATGAAGACTACGACGTCGTGGACGGTTTACGAGTGACTTGTGGCCAATTTTTAGTTCTACTTCCATTGTCGCTATCTAGGACCGAGAAACACCGTCATTTGCGGGCCCGACGTCTACCACCACGGGGATTTACGATTGACTCGTCACATACCCCATACGCTGTTCTGTATAGGACGAGGCGTAGAGCGCTATTCGGCTTAAGAGAAGGGGACATTTTGCGCTCGAGCCGTTTCCTTTTGCTAGTTCATATTTATAACAGCCGCTCATAAATTTGGGCTGATGCTTTGCAGGCCCTCTTCTCCTGAACTCGGGAAATATTTAACCTTTCTGGCGTAAAGTCCCCATACTGGCTCGATTATTTTAGATAATCGCATCTACAAATGTTTATGGGGCTGTTACTTATAATGAGAAACACAGGCCGAAAAGCGAAATGAAGGCGGTCAGAATCTGCGAGGAAAAGCTCTTGCGTTTCAATGCCACAAAAGCAATTTTGGACGAGCCCTCTCCCGTCCGCTACATTCAAGCACCATAACCGCTAACGGTACGGTACGGTGGATTTACTGTGGCCTCACCGCGGCGCCTTCATGTCAATCCCTTCGCCCCTCAATATAGTTCGTTTTAGCCCATAAAGACAGACCAATACGCATCAGGCTACGGTCGTTCCATTTGTGGGCAGCGCGGCGCGGTCGTCGCTCCCGGTCGGTATGCTTGCAGGCTCGAATAGGCGCCTTATAAGGTACCTTCCCTAGAGAGGGGCTGCGCAGCGCCTGCTCAGGGGCGTGGAATTCCGTCCTGCTAGGCGTATTAATCTACTCGTCTTAGAGATTTATCGTGTCAACTGCCTTTTGGAGCAACTCACAGTTCTTCACAAGATGCCCTGTTCAAGCTTTGCTGACATTGCTCGATGCTCCAACCAAGCCGAACTGAGCCTGTGTTGTAAATGTGGTACATCGCCATGTGATACACTTTTATCATCGTCAGAAATGACAGAGGGCGTGGTGCGTACTTCAGTTAACGCATAAGCGTGGACATGCCGCCTCTCGCAACTGGGATCTTGTCTCGTACTAGATAAAGACGATTGCAATTCTCTCAAAACGCAAATATACCTTTAGTGGCGCGGCTGCAACCAAGTTTGAAGGCACGGTCCGCAATGAAACGCCTAGGTGATTTTGCAGAAATGTGGAAGAAAATTCGCCAAGTGAACCGTCTATGAAGAGAAAATGCCAAAGGGAACGTTGGAAACGCATTCGTCAGGCCTCCTCTAGCCTCAAACAACTGTAGAGGTAAAAGACCGAAAAGACCGCGCGCTGGGACGATTCCCGTCGGCTGATTCCCAGTAATGAACCCTATGACTCTACAAGAGACATTGAATGCATCCACTCCATGATACTTGCCCGGGAGCATTACTTTTGGCTGGAAGGCCGACTTTGGAGGCGGAGTCTGGAGGCGGAGTCACTGGAAAAAGGGATGTACCACTGAAGCAACTTTGCGCCTTAATTCCTTTACCGTACAACTTTCCGAAACTGGCACAGGTTGTCCACTCCGGACCGCACTACCTTCCCACATAACCTCTTGCACTTTCATAGGTCATCGCGGACCGTTCCTTTGAGTGATGCACGTTGCAACCTTTCCATCTCTATTATATGCAGCGTACAGTGAACAAAAAAGAGCGTCTCCGAGTGTGGAGCTGCGAGCGCGGTGGACATCTGCGAGGGTTTAGTCCAGCGATGTTTTGTATAAGCGAGCAGAAACAGCACGGTAGTACGCAGCAATCAGCATGCGCTTTTGCGAACACCCCTTTTTGCCTCTCGATATGGCCTGAGATGGCAGTGTCTTCAGAGGTTGTCGAAATAAAAAGGCACCTCCTATCCATATGTTCTAAGACTGTTTTTTTCAGCCGACATGTCGACGTCTATGGTGTGCAACATACTACGGCAGTCAGATGGGCTGTCGAACACAGCATATGCCGTGGGCAGACGGAACTCCTTGTGACAAGACGGGCCGTATGGTTCGTGATTTTTGAAGCGTTTCTTCTTTGAACTAAAAATGAGCTCTTTTCGACCTTACACATGAGCTGATGAAGACCATCTGATTGACCGTGCTGACCAGCTAGATCCCTCTGCTCCTGCAAAAGCAGGTCACCTCTTTTTTAATCTCTCTGGAAAGTTTTTTCCTCTTCGTAGCTGCTGATCCCGTGCTCTCACAGCAATGAATGTGACTTTCAAAACTCGTGAAAACTAAAAGTAATTGTTGCGTCCTCGGGCGGTGACAAACCAAGACGATAGGATAACAGCTTTATTACAGAAGAATAGTAGAATGATTATCATAGAAAGCACCGGCCTTATATAACGGTAAAAATGGGCGGAGTTGATCAGTCAGGATCACAGCCTGATCTTGGAATCCACGATCGCCTACAACGCCTTTGATCCTTTGGCAAGATCAAGGCTCATCACTGATCCAACAGTAATGAATAGTCAAAACTTAATAGTATCCGTAGGCTCATCTCAACTTTATAATTTTCTTGACTTTCCAGCAGTGTCACCGTGGGGAATGTGTGTCGATAGGAGCCGTAACCATCGAGCCAAGTCGAACGTGTGGATGGGGCGAGTGGAGATCTTGGGAGACATGCAGTCGAACTTGTGGCGGAGGAGTACAGAGAGCGCTTCGTGACTGCGACAGCCCCAAGTATGTTTCTTCTACCAGGTTTTCTGCAGTTAACAGGAGGCCTGAGTTTTTTGTTTCGCCCCCCCCCCCCCCTCCCTTCCAGGTCACCCAGGTTTTAACTGTCCTTCTCTTGAGAGTCAGTAACTTTTATGGACATTTGCATTACAATTCTCACTCTGCAGAGTTTTCTTAAAGGCCTGCAAATGGCGGAAAGTACTGCGTTGGTCAGCGCGAACGCTATCGTTCTTGCAATGTGGCTGACTGTCCATGGGATACACCAGGTTTCCGCGAAGTCCAGTGCGCCGAATTTAACAACAAGGTAATTTTCTTTGAGCTTCTATTCTACTTCTGTCATTCGCACTCGGTTGAACTACTAGAATTTGCAGGACGTGGGCATACACGGGATTCCGTCAAGAACCACTTGGGTGCCAAAGTACACCGCTGTTGCCGATAACGAACGATGCAAGTTGTACTGTAGAGTTGCTGGAAGTGCTGCCTTCTATCTGCTCAGAGAAAGGGTAAGTGGGTGTGCGGCTCCCTGAACAGGTATGAAGCTCTCACTACAAGATTCTTACGGTACATTCAGGTCGTTGACGGCACTCCCTGCGACAGAAATGGCGATGACATCTGCGTCGATGGCACTTGCATGAAGGTACCTTCGATCAACAATAGGGGTTGGGTCAGGAGATCCGACATCTTTTGCGATTTCAGGCTGGATGTGATCACCGGCTTCATTCGACGATGACGCGTGACAAATGCGGTATCTGTGGTGGTGATGGCACGACATGTAGAACTGTCAAGGGCACTTACAATGAGAGAGGGTCGTTCGGATATAACGCGGTACTTATTTTCAATTCTGAAATGTTTCATCTTAATTACTTAGCGGATTTCAACCGTGCACGACATGATTAAAGGGCTAGGGTCAAAATAGCAAACGAGTACGTCATAGATGCCCGTCAACCCATTTCAGCCTCAACTGCTCTCTGGCTCTGCGTAGCTCAAGGGAAGAGGTCGGCACATAGAGCAGTCGACCGTCGGGAGCGAATGCCCGACGGTCGCACTCAGTGGACCTATTAGTGCTGGCCATTTAAGATCCACCCACGGAATCCATCCACGGAGTCAGTGCGATCCCTACCTTTGACGCCTATCTTACTGGCAATCAACCAGCAACGTTAAGCACATTCCAAGTGTACTTGCTCGTCGGCGCCGGGTACCCCAATGACAGAAGTCACGCCTCTGGGGCCTTAATCTCAGTGGCTGGTGGCCCTGAGCTGTACTTATGCTACCGATGCTAGCTACCCTCACACAAGCGCCAAGTACTTCCCAGTTGAAGTACCTACAGAACTTGAAGGCATAGTCTACGCCGATCACATCAGCGAAAAAATGGTAGGAAAGAACCAATCACTATGCCTATCGGAGCGCTTCTGCTCTTTGTTAGTCTTAAAACGATGGGACGGCACCAGCTGAGAAAAGGCCCAAATAGCTGAATGTCTCCACCCATAGGATTACCATGGCACTGCCATAAGCAACATTATGTTCATGCAGTGTCAAATTGTTCTTTTGACTATTGAATTCCCTCGACGGCTTTTTGAAGGCATATGCTTCTTGGAACTGAGGGGGGGGGGAACATTTTCACAAATTTCTTCATATTGAAACCGAGAGATTTCCCAGATTTCGCAACCGTCAGACTATTTCCACTCGCAAAAAAGAGTGGTGGATGACGTGAATGGCATTAAAATGTAGTGCATGACGTGTTATGAATTCAACAATGTACAGTTTCTCAGTATTAAAGGATTCCGCAGATCGGCGAACATTGACATCCGACAGCATGGCTACAATAATCAGAAGGATGACGATAACTACCTGTGTGAGTCTTTCATACCCGCCTATATGGGCGAAACACCCTTCATTTGCCGACGAGTAAGTTGGCGATAATTGCTGAAAACATCTTCAGCGTCGCGCTTCGTCCCAGTCTTTCGTAATACGACTCCGTTCCATCCACTAACCACCTAACTCACTTACATACCTATTTTTCCAGCAAAAAAAAGTGTAAGACTAGAGGGGGAAGGAGATGGGTGCCATCGCTACTGCAAAACAGCTGCGGGAGGGTCAACTTGACTACTTGAACTCTCTATGCTCTGGTCGTGTTGCCGAAACCCTGCAACGCCAGCCACGAGGGCATGCGTGCCGTAGCACCGAAAGGTGCAAAAACATGTAGGGAGCCGGAGGATGGGCTTCTGGCTTCACACGATCATAGGAACTTGTACACTCGTTCGCTGCAGATGCTGGGGCGTGTCAGGGGGTTCTTGTCAGGAGGCTGGGTCTGATGCGGCGCTATTCCGTTTTCTACTAGCTATTGAAGCGTGTAAGCGATAACAATTGGTGGAGAACGGGCTGGCTCCGCATCAAACCCAGCTTCCGCCAACCTCTCACACAGCCTCTCCCCCTCCTTGACACACCCCGCATCCACAGCGAACAAGACAATAGCTCGAGTAATCCGGAGGCCAGCGAGGAGGCACATAACCGCGAAATCTGGAGGAGGCGTCGCTTACATTAGTAGGCGGAGAGTTACAAAGGTCACGCGAGCGAACTAACAGCCATGCGCGCGCAAAATCAGTAGCAATCCTGAATTTCTGGAACGGGTTACCTTTGATATCCGTTTCGAAATTCCACATAACGAAAACTGCAAAACCCATAGGGAGGTGGAGTTTCAACTTTACGAGAATTCCATACTCATAATGAAAGCATTTTCCAGCGCTCCGAGCTGCAAATGGCGAGTTTCTATTGAATGGCCATTATCAAGTCAGCGTATTTCGCCAACAGATCCCAATCCAAGACGTCATCCTTGAGTATTCTGGAAGTGACAATGTCGTCGAAAGAATCAACGGAACCGGTCCTATCAGGTAGGAAAACGATAAACTGCTTTCTATAGTCCTCGATAACCGTAATGACGGGGTAGTCTGTGTGACGTGAATTCTGGAGCCGTGCCAGCTCATTTTCCACCGGTAATTGCTCGCTCTCATCTCAACGACTATTTGAAAAAAGCTAGCGCCGCGCCAAAACCCATTTCACATTGACACGCCCCGTCGACTCGGTTGGTAAAAGTGTGCAAACCATAGTCGAATTAAAGTACGGTAATTTCTCCGTTTTTTGAGCCACCATTTTATAGAATTGACATCTATGTCCATGTGCTTTCCGTTGGAAACCTTCTGCCACCAGACATCAGCTACGAGTACATGACTGCCGTTGAGGTATCAACAAAGAGATTTTACAGAGGCTTTTTTTCACTACTACTCGATCCATTCTAGAGTCCATCCGCAAGGAGTGTGTCGATGAACAACTACCAGTGGAGAGCTGGTGAACAGTGGAGCGCTTGCGATAGAGTATGTCAAGGTAAGGAGCCGTCATCTTGAAGAGGTCTACATTTTATATTGACGGGTTGAAAACCTGGCTACTACAGACCTGAAGCGCCGCTGTGCATTTTGTTTCCTCCTGTCGAATACGGCGATCGGCAGACTAGCGCAAAGAAACAGTACGATAAGAGCTATAGACTGACTTCGAGAAAGTCAACTTTAGTCTTCGTGCGGAGGCTCTCACCACCTTGGGCGAGTCGTATCTCTGCTTCTGTTGAACGCGCTGCGACAAAAGTATAGAAACTAATAATAAAGGATATGGAAGTCATAGCATTTGCTGGCCTTCAGAGAGAGGCTGGCGGAGGAAGGGTTTGGCACTGCCCAAACGCAGCGCATGACACGGCGGTCCCAACGTCGCAGAGAATACACAATGAAATAAGACTGTACGATCAGCCTGTCTTGTAGCTCCCCATTCTTGAATCCCCACAAACTAGCGGCCGGACATCGATCGATATCCGGACATGGCTGCATCACGCCTAGCGTTGGAACGTCATTCGAAATGAGTGATATCAACGCAGCATCATGTGCAGTCCTGAACTCAGCCCTTACGACGCACAATGGGTGGATGTACTATTAGTTATCTCCAAAAGCGCGCAAGTGGCTGAAGGAGGTCGCACTGAAGCGGCATTTCCTAGCAAATGACCTGGCCTACCGTACCACTACCGCGCGAAGTCGGTTAGGTCGTGGCGCGAACGCCGCGCACAGCGCTGCTTTCACCTGGCCCTTCACACAATATCGCTTTTGGAGCGCATATCTTTTAAGTCGCTAATGCTATAATCATGACTTACTCGTTTATAATAAGCAAATAATCATAATTTCTTCAAGGAACGCAAACGCAAGAAATGCTATGCGTCGATTTGTCGACAAATCGTCCGACGCACGAAAGTCTCTGTACGGGCCGACGTCCACAGACGAATACGCGAATGTGCAATATCGACTGCTTCGTCAAGTACGCAACCAATCTGCGGTCAATATTCCTGCAAACGAGAGGGCGTGTGAAGGGGTGCGGATTGAAGAGCAGCCAATGAGGATGTCATCATTGGTGGAAAAGGCCGCCTTGGCTGTCTGGAATGCGCACCCCTTCACACGCCCTCTCCTCAGCAGGGATAGTGGCTGTATTATTCTGTTAATTATTGCCAGTCAATCAAAAAAGCTTCATCATTTAGGTGGATCACTGAGGACATTTCGCACTGTTCAGCACAATGTGGATCAGGTGAGAAGAAGCAGCGTGTCTACTGCGTGAAAATCGAAGGCGGTCGACAAGCCATCACTCGAGATGAGGACTGCGATAGATCGAGGTCTGTAATACTTATGAATAGCTCCGAGATAGGTTTCGAGCGCTGATTCCATAAACTGTTTCCAGCCGACCATCAGAAAGGGTTACCTGTTTCGTGGACTGTTCGGGAAGGCGCTGGAGCTATGGCGAATGGTCAACGGTGAGCTCAGCCCTTTCCTGAGCCTCTTGTAGCTTCACTCTGAGAATGCTCTTTTCAGTGCTCACAATCTTGTGGTTCTGGTGGTGTTTCTCGTCGAACTGTGGTTTGTATAGACGATCACAACCGCGTTGTACCAGATCACCTTTGCAACGCGTATGTAACCAATACCTTGCATGCGAGTAGGAAAAGAAAAGTCGCGAGAAGAATGCAATCGTTTTCCTTGTCCCAGATGGGTATATGGGCATTGGTCCGAGGTAAAGTCACGTTGTAGTAACAACTATTTCATACGATTTCAATCTTGTGTTTAACCCAGTGCTTCATTTGAGCGACCTCATGATATCTGCTCTTAACTGCTAGGATTCAGTAGTGATCTATAGATCCTCCATAATGACTCTGTAACTCTCAGGTGGAGATACCTTGCGTGAATCCCCACAATTAGGAGCTATTGTTTCAGTGTTCCCGATCCTGTGACGGTGGTTCCGAGCGCCATGCCAATATGGATGGCAGCGACAAGAATACCACTACTCTCATTGGACGAACGGTACTGTACTCCACAACAGTTCGTCAAAACTTCCCTAGAAGAGTAAACGCTGACAGATTAGATTCTGTAGTTACAAAATGCATTAGCCCTTTTTTTCTTTTTTTTTTTTTTCCCAAATTTCGAGTTCCATGTATTGAAAAAATGTACAGGCATCAAGTGTCTACGGTCTTGAATTAAGCCGAGATCATAAAATCTCTCATCTGTTGACCACTAGCTATCTAAGTTACGTAACATTTCAGTAACGCCGCGTCTGTCAAGCGTTACTCTGTCCTCATTCAGCGTATCGGAGCACTTTTTCATCAATTTTTCGTCACGCGTTAGTTAGGAATTGAATTCATCAAGCTAATGTTGAACTTACATGTGCGAGCAACTGGCGTGGCGACCATTGCACGCTAGTTTTTGCTGTTGCACGGGGCTGTTCCGTGACTCGACGTCCGACATCGAAAAACTTTTTGCTTAATACGACGTTCTGCCAAAACTCCTCCGATGCGATACCTTTCCATTGCAGCCAGCTTCTATCAACTTTATTCTGTCGACCAGGGAGAGGGTGAGAGGGGGGGGGTGGGAACGGTCTCGTTTGAGAATATAGCGCACGTGAAACGGGAAAAATCAGCAAACGGAAGAAACATAACTCAGGGCGCCCAAGACAAGATCTCAGCAATGATCTGATCTCTCTCCCCCCTCTCATCGACCGGATACACCCAGCCCTCCCCTCCTCGCTGGGATCCCTAAGGTACGGCATGCCCTGTCAGTGCCCTACGAGTGGTTCACGCCTGGGATTTGGTGGGCCGCAGTTGTACCTGGCGCTGATTGAATGCTTTCTAAATGCTGTCGATGTAATCGCTTTATAAAGCAGAGTATGACTGATGGTATAGTTGATACAACACTTGAGCTTGTGTGCGACCCGTTTTGAATACCTTTTATTGTCGCCGTAGAGGTCTGGGATGCGGCCACGCGCTGAAGACATCTCGAAATTTGCGAGCTAGTTGCTGCGGGTTACTGTAGCTTTTTCGCAGCGAATCGGTTAGATCTTGGTGTGATTGCCGCTCCACTTGCAACATTGCATTTGCATTCCTCAACACGAATCCCTTAAACTGCGTTTCCGACGTAGTAACTTGGCCAGACTTGACGCTAGTTTGTAGATTGTAAGTCATGATGAGTCATGATGATTACGGCGTAGTAATTATTCTTTTGTCTCATTTCTCAGTATCGAGCCGAGGGTGCTGTCTTTTTTTCCTGCTGCACTTCTCAATGAACTTTTATTCTAGCACGACCGAGAGTCTTGCAATGAGCAGATGTGTACAGCATGGTCGTTCGGTCAATGGTCGACATGTTCGGTGACCTGCGGTGATGGAATACAGACCAGAGAAGCGATCTGTGTTGATCGAGACGGAAGACCATTGGATTCTGGTAGGACCTCAACTGTCTTTCAGAAGTAACCTTCCTTCAATTGCCGAGCTTTCAGCCAGGTGTAACTATCGTGAGCGTATCGTGCAGAAACCGTGTTCTCGTCCAGCCTGTCCATCGTGGAAAGTCGGTGAATGGACGCAATGCAGTGTATGTTTTCAGAGTACTTCAGGAAAGCCAAGAACCCTTAATTGCCTGATTTAGGTCTCATGTCAAGATGGTTGGTCAACCCGACGTGTGTCTTGTGTGGATTCTCGAGGTGAAGACGTCAGAGCCGAGCTATGCATGGCTGGAGATCAGGAGCAGCCGCCTTCCCATCGGCAATGCAACCTCGGGCCTTGCCCATTCTGGAGAACCAACGACTGGAGCGCGGTTAGTGATGGCATTTTCCATAGGCTAATTTGCACTCTGGACGCGCTTACGCCAAAAATTTTATGGATTATGAGGGCGAAAAACCAGTGCGTTGCTCAAGGAATGTCAGATGAGGGGAGACAGAATTTGTGGGGCCACGCTTATCGAGGGACACCATTTCGGGATTGTTGGGTAGGTGGAGCCAAAAACAATGCCATTGGTGTGCCCTTCCTTTTCCCGCATTACGTGGTTGAAGACGATGGAAAGGGGAGCAACGCGTTTATGACGTCACATGGCAGTTCCAAGCCGGGTCTTTCAGGGGGAGAATAGGTTTTTCTTGAGCTATAAAATATTTGTAGGAAGGAGAAGTACTCAAGAAGCTTTCAGTGCTCTGTGACCTGCGGATCGGGAGTGAGACGTCGTGGTGCAGAATGCGTCTATCGCGAGCAGGTGGTCGATCAGTCGTTCTGTGGAGATGCTACCCCTCCCATAACACAACAGTCCTGCAAGTGAGACCTCACAGTACATCATAGTCCTTCGTTTGCAGTAAGAAATGCTTCTACTTTCAGTCTGGTTCCGTGCACCTCATGGGAAGTATCCGCATGGGGACCATGCTCAGTGAGCTGCGGTAATGGCACACAGACCCGTCGTGCTCATTGCGCTTCAGGACCTAAGAAAGAGCCAGTCAAGGACTTCCTTTGCGATAAGGTAACGTCGAGGAAAAATTTGCTCTTTTTTGGTTGAGCATCACTAATTCCTATTTTCAAGGCTACCCGGCCACGTGAAAGAAGAACTTGCGAACGTGATCCATGTGAGACCCGTGTTTCGGATCTGCTAACTCAGCCAGCTGATGTCCCTCCAATCAGATGGGCCACCGGGCCATGGTCGGAATGCTCGGCGACTTGTGGCAATGGAACGCAACGAAGACTGGTTAGTTTCGAAGATCACTTATCAGGGAGTAAGTACAGTCTCGTTCGCCGCGGATGATGGGGCGTGTCAGCGCGGTGTTTGGCGCGGCGTTTTTTTTCATTTTTTTCTTTCGGCAAGCCACAAGACTGTATCATATCGTCAGTCGTTTTCCAGCAGTTGTTGCCAATTACACTCCTCAGCAACTGCCGGGCAACGGGCTGGCAGCGCGCCAAACGCAGCCGCGCTGACCCCTATTTCCGCAGCGAACAAGACTGTAACCAGGTTTTTGAAGAGTTAAGAACTAGCTATGAGTGTTTTATGCAAATTGATTTTCTCACCAGGGAGTGGTTCCTCCCGCGGCATACAGCGCTTCGTATGTGGAGAATTGTGTTCTGAATTGCAGGTAAAATGTCGGGATCATCAACGAGATCTACCAGATGAGTACTGCCGGGACTTGGAGAAAGTGGAAGACACGCGTATGTGTAACATCAAAGTCTGTGCTTTCTGGCAAAGTGGCCCATGGATGCCGGTTTGTACATTTCTATTCATTTGCCAAGCGTTCTCTCGGGTTTATCATATGGGGCTTGCGGTGTACTGTTCGTTAATCCCGAGTCGTGGCGAGATCGAAAAATGGGTCGTACATGGGCCTCGGCGCGATTCATTCCGCCACCATGACCCAACTGATTGTCGTAATGGCTGTGCGATTGCTCTCACGTTCGTTCTTTAGTTAGGGGAAACCATTTGCTAGTCTATGGCGCCGATGCTGCGGCTTGCAATTTGCTGAATACACATCGTGTTATGGACGTAAATCTCACCCTTCACCCCGGAATTTGAACTAGCACTTTTGTTTTCCGGCCATCGCGCTTAACCACTACTCTAAACGAATCGGCAAGCACCGCGGCAGGTTGCGAGAATTTTCCGTGGAGAAGGAAAGTTGGAAAGGGCGTATGGAGGAAGCTGCTGGAAGACATCAGAAGCGGTGTACGCCTGTAGTTCGAAGCATAGCATGGGCGCAAAGTCACTGTCCGCCTCAGTCGCGACTTGGTGAGCGCAGACTAGCGCGAGTCGTTTGTAGCAGTGCCACGGCTGTGCTTTAGCGATCTTCCCCTTTTGGTGGAAATGTACCACCCTCTTTACCCCATCTTATTTATTTGAGAATATGTGACAAAATTATGAGGAAGGATAAACTCCTCCCTTGAGGAAGGTCTCATCGTGGTTGTAGTGTAGTTGGAGGAGCTGGCGCCGAGGGGGAGATGGATGGTGGGAGGAAGCGAAGCTATGCCACAATTTCTTTTGCTAGACTTTTGCCAACGAACAAGAAAAGGGCTGCCCCTTGCCAACAATACTGGCGCTTTTGTCCCTTAATTGAACTTGAATATGCGGCAACAGCCAGCAGCAACCTACAGCCTTGTTCCTGCGGATGCTAAGGCTTGTCATGGGGCGGGGCTTGGCGTTGCGCCGGTACGTTTTCCACCAATTGTTGTCGCTTTCCCGTCTTCAACAATTGATGGAAAACGGTTTGGCGCCGCGCTAAACCGAAACGCCTGCTGACACTCTCCAGCATCCGTAGCGAGCAACGCTAAACCCCACCGAATGTTCATAGCGCTCAGGCCCACAGAGGGGTTAGTGTTTCTTGAAATAACTCGAATATCGTGATTTTCACGCCATAAAGCGGTATTTGAACAAGGTCATGGATTCTGAGATTTGAAGCTCATTTTCAGTGCCCAGCCACATGTGGAGCTCATGTGCAGCAATCGAGGAGTGTGATGTGTGTGGCAAGAGAAAACGGTGACATTACATCTGAGACCGACTGTGACGTCGCTGAACGGCCACCGTCGATGCGATCGTGCAAACTGGACACGTGTCCGAAAGGAGAACCACCCCTTGGCCGTTGGATCACTGGCGAGTGGACAAAGGTATGCCTCCCCCTACGCACACTGTTCTGTATAAAGTTACCGATACTGCATCTCTTCCAGTGTTCGGTATCATGTGGTGGCGGATGGCGGCGGCGTGCAGTGTCATGCGATGGCATCATCTGCGATGACACAAAGAAGCCTCGAATGTTCGACCCGTGCAATCCGATGGCGTGTCCACCGAAAAGCAACAACACTTGGCAGTCACGAAGAAGAACTTCTTCTGCGAGCGTCCTACCTTCCCCTGTGATTGATCGAGAAAACGATTCATTCCGCCGAATAGTCCATGTTCGAGGTATAAAATTGGGATTTGAGAAGAATTAGGCACTTGGGGAACTAGGGGGCCACGTTCACATCCTTCACTAAGAGCGGGGGGATCGTACCCACACCAGAATAGTGGGGGAGGGTCGTGAGCACTCGACCAAAATACCATGATGTGCCCTGGCCGCAAAGTCCCTCCATTGGGGCACTTGATCCCTTGGCATCGTTAGTATACGCTGCGCCGATGTCCCAGCAAGAGCACCTACAGCGTCGCGGAACACGACAGCTTTGATGTGTGGACCAAGGACGTATCTTGCGTCATGTCTAAATGAAGTACGAGGCCACGCCTCTTCCCATACCCGGGATATGGAGTTTATGTCAAAGCTATGTGTAGTCAGCGCGTAGTCGTGTCGCTGTGTGTTGCGGGCCGCATGGGAGTGAGCACCAAACGTTATAACCCAAAAGGCATGGGCATAAACGGCCATATACCTGCGGAAGACCTGCAGGGTGTAGGCTAGGAGATCAGAATTGGGGCGGCACGACTTGGGGCAGTACCTCTCGCGCTGTATTCGCACCTGGACCCTACTGAATGGCGCGGAAGTGCTACAGCAGCTCGAAACAGCTAGCAAGGAAGCTTTTGCTCGCGCCGAGCGTATGCGTTCCAAATCAAAGCTGCTGTCTCGCACCCAGCTTGTGCTGCTGTTGGGGGAGAAATTTACGATATTCCTGGGTTCTCTCAGCTTCCTTGTACTTTTCTCCGGTTCCAGGGAAACTCTCCAGTTTTACAAAAAGCTGCCCTCGAGCCGGGGAGGGGATCATGGAAACGGGGGAAAACCTAGAAAACGTTAACAACCGGAAACATTTCCTAGAAGTAAATGCGACTCTTCCCTCCACCAGCCAAGTATCACTAGCCCCTCCCCTCCCTCGCGCTGAGAATCCCCAACTTAAGATGTGCCTTGCTTACCTCTGCGGGCGACTATTGCATGTGCTCCCTGATGTAGAAATTTTGTTTTTTGTTGCTTAAATTCTTTCTCTCCACGATGTTTCGATTAATATTTTTCCATTGCAGTGTTCAGTCACGTGTGGTGGTGGAATACAAAGACGTCGTGTATGGTGCGAAGATGCGGTGAGCGCCAAGGCTCAGGACGACAGCGAGTGCCGTGACGCGAAACCGACGACACAACGTGACTGCGAGCTGTCGCCATGCCCAGCATCCCAACAGTCTCCCGCGACATGGCAAGCGGGCCCATGGAGTCCGGTACGTCGCAGATACTTGATGAACCAGCTTCTTCGTCACTATCGTCGATTCCACCCGCAGCGAGCTTATTATTAAATGTGTCGCTTTGGCGCTGCTATAGTGATTTACAAGATTTCCCAGTGATTTCTGCTCGCTCTACTCACATGAGTAGCCGGCTGCTCTAATGCCGTTGAATGCTTTGTCTATAGATTCGCATGCTCGGCAGGTCAGGAGGTCATGCTTATGGAAACGGGAAAATATTGGGAGTGGTAAATCACCCATTCTCCGCCATCATCCTTGAGGCGCGTGCGGTAGCGGTGCGCCACTGACATTGGATCGATAATCTCTTTTCTGCTGCGGAAGGGTTCATACTTCTCCAATCGTTCCTTATGTGTCTGGATTTCAGTTGATGGCATGCTGAATTCTCAGTGCTTATGCTTCTAGTGGCTTGATTCTTACTTTTCTTTTACTGAGGATTGAAGTGTGAGGGTCACCTTCACTGCTTGTCTCAGAGAAGCTTAAAGCAGCTGCTCCATCCCTTCAAAAACGTGTCCTTCGAGGGAATTGAATGCAGCCGGACATTAGGGCTGCGCCCCGAATGCTGCGAAACCGATAGTGATGCATATCACCAGTGATCCCTAACAATAAGTGACATAGAAATGTCGCTGTCAGCCCCGCTCTCAATGAACGTAGTCTCATCTGCCGATTCCGGATTCCGGGCTAGCTTATCTAAACAGGCACTCGTTTAGTCTACCTGTAAATCGATACGATAATGGGTCAGTAACGTAACATGACACAATAACGACGTGTCTTAAGACCCTACTAGGCAGCGTTCAGACTTTGCGATGAGCGGTCGGTTGTTCTGAGAGAGTATGGGATAACAGGAGGATGGGTGCTTTCTTCCCACACCTGATACCTTCCTACTGGTAGCTTCCTACTCTTCTGCGCTCTCTATCACCACAAGCCAATCGATACACATCTGCTGCTTCGTTTTGGTATGTAACATTGGAGCGCCACGGCGGTGGTAGCACGTGGACGCGCGTTGCTGCGCTTCTTCGCGCGTTCACAAGCCGTGACGTGCCTCGACGCGCCTCTTCGCGAACTATGAACGCTGCCTTAACAATGACACAATACCAGCTTCCCTCGTTGCTAACGTGTAAGATAAAACGTCGTCTCCTAACCCATAGGAGGTAGCTGGCCTATGCTTTACCTACGCCTATTTCCCATTCCCAGTGTTTCCCCAAGACCTTTTTCATCTCCAAGGGTGTCACTAATGATGAAACAGTCGACGGCTTTACTTCAAACAGTGTTTGTTTCCGTTTTCCTGGGAACATTTCGAATGTGCAAATTATATTGTTTTATTTTTGTTCTAGGTTTTTTTTTTCATTTTGTTCAGTTCATAGTTCATATTTTAATTTATTTCGTGTTCTTTTTGTGTATGTGATGATCTGTCTCACTCTCGACTGCCCTGCCATCTTCACGCCGCCCTGATACGTGGTGTCCATTCGTCTTCTTCTTTTTTATGTTATGTTTTTCGTCCACCTTTAATGTTCGCGGGATGCCCTTCACCCACCCAGTGATCATCCACGTTCACTGCCACTCCACTACTCCTCTTCCTCATCATCATCGTCATCATCATCATCATCATTACTGCTGTGACTGTGTGCATTTTATTTTTTGGTCGTTGGTGGGTTGTGTCCGTTCTAGGTAAAACATTCACTTATGGGTTCGACAAAACTGCAAATCATAATAACAACAACAGCATTAATAAAATGTTTGACCGTACGTGTCGTCACCATTTACCACCTTAAACTTCACTTCAGTCATCCATTTTTTGCACTGCACAGCATGCACAATAGGGTCCTGCAGGGAACTTGCACTCACTCAAAGACACACTGCATGTTTAACTGACCAGTGAATTCTTCCCGTGTTAAAGGTGGATATGTGGCAACGAAATGTGGCACTCTCACCATTCGATTGCGCATGTACGCCGCCATGAAGCTAGAGATTTGTGATAGTCAGGTGTGCCTTATGTCGGGTGTGTGGTGATTCTATCGTCGGGTCGTCGCGCCGGTGGGCGGAGCGAGGCGGCGTGGCGGCCGCCGCGTACGAGTTTTGTTGCGTGGCGTTCAAATTGTTAAAGGGTCGACGATCCCTTTAACAATTTGAAAGAGGCACAGCTTGCTGTGGCCGTTGCTCCAGTGACAACTCGGGAGTACGGCAATGCAACTGCGCCGCGTCGCCTGACTTGCCGACGATGGAATCGCCCGGGTGCCCCTCATGTCTCCCCCACTAAACTTATACGTCAGTTCGTCCGCATGGTGCCGGCTCTTTTGAGCCCTGTCACCGCATTATGATTTCACTGGTATTCTTACCGAAATGAGTGCCACACACAATCTTATTCTCTCCGAACGCTGGGCTTTCAGAGGGGAGAAGGGCTGGGTCTGTGGCGGCGACAGTGTACTCTCCACCAGATGTGGTCCCTACCACCCTGCGCTGCCCTTAGTTGCTGCCGCCGCAGACTACGTCCGCATGACCGGCATGGCTAGACTGGCGTATAGACACGTGCATCAAGCATTCACAGGTCTATGACTGTCTGACCCGTAAGCTTTGGACCAGGGCACGTCGCAATTTGGGGATCCCAAAGGACGGGAGTCGCATTTGATTGCCGGTGGGGGGAGGATCGGAAGATTTCGACCTTGTCTTTGCTGAGGAGAAATATTCTCGGCTGAATCTAACTTCTCGATTTTTTTTTCTTTTTCAGGTGCTCCGTATGACCAATGCCCCCCTCCTCGTCCCCCTTCCCCGCTAAGCGGCAGTTTTTTGAGGACGGAATGGAACTATTTTCAAAAAAAGAATTCCGCAGGGTGCTGAATATTCCGGACGTTCAGGAAGTCGGGGAAACTTAGGAAGATGCCAGGTAGGTGGTTTAAGTATGCTAAGGAGGACGCACTAGAGGCGGAGAAATTCAAGGGAGCTTCTACATTGCAAAGGAAAATCCCCATGCAAGGACCTTGCCTCCTCTCAACAGCAAAGATAACTTTTGTCGTGGAAAGGCCTTTCACCTTGGACACGAGGGAAATTCACCTATCGAGCAATCCACAGTCTGCCTTGGCCCGAAACAGGCTCAACGTGCCCGTCATAGTGGTGTCATTTTAGCTATCGGCCAATGTCAGTGTTTTTGCCGTACATCGCACACGCAGGGCTTCAGACTGATCTCATCTACTAGAACTCCTTAGCAGCACGAGCTGCGGAAAGTGTTGGTGTCTAATTATACAAGCGCATGCAAAATGGGCAGTGAAATGTTCCCTCGCGGAGAAAAAAAAGATGTGATTCAGTCAAAATCGCATTCGTAGTGGAAATAAATGCAGATGTAATGGGTACGAGAGAAAAACATGAGAAAAGCCACCGGTGTGTTTTCCAACGGGGTAGATAGAAGGTGCCGTTCTTGAGTCGAATGCCATCGGAGAATCAGTCATTAGACAGTCAAGTAAAAATTTTAGTGTGAAAACCTTACAGATACTGCAACATGAGCAAAGATTTTTATAAAAAAAAAGTGTCGTCATGTAGAGCTGGCAGCTGTAAGCAGAACTGGATGAACCTCTTCGTTCTCTCAGAAAACTAGTTGTTTCTTTCACAATTTCCCCTTCTCTACCCGTTTCTGGAAATAGCAGTTGTGCGCGTCAAGCAAGTCCTTACTTGCACATGTGAGGAAATATTTAATCACACTTTCGTGGCTGCGTCCCTGTGTAATACTTAATGATTTGTTCGGTATTAAAAAACTCATATATCCGCCCGTGTTGTTGGGAGGTAAAGTGACTAACGGGGGTGGGGTTGGTGGATGTTATGAAAAACAACTCTGTGATGTTTCCCTTTTTATTATTGAGTAGCAGTGCGACGCATTGTCATAAGGGTTGGTTTATAGTTCGCGACTCGAGCAATTTTTGAATCGCGCGATTGCGACCAACAGCGCTTCACTACCAATCGTTGGACGGCAAAGTGCTACTGCTGATCGTAATCCACACTCCAGTGAAAAAATTCTTTTAGTCGTTGCCACCGTTCATCGTTTATAGTGAAGCGCGATCGGTCACAGTCACGTCTAAAGAGAATGGCATGCCTCGTCGCGAAGTATAAACACGGTTTAAGGACACACTTGTGCGCTCACCTGTGTAGGATCGTGGTCCTTAGTTCATCGTCAGATGGGAAGAGTCTTACTGCTGCATTTGATGCTAGTTTCTTCGGGAAAATGCACTTGTCATCGGAGCCTGTAGGGTAGTTATTTTGCCGAATAAGTCTCCCTACTCCACCTCCGCACCTTGTACCGGCTGCATGTGCAGACATTGAGGGTACGCGGCGCAAAATATCGGAGGCGACTTACGAGTTCCAGATACCTCCAGTCCAGCTCCCGCGAGCTTGTAGAACAGGGAGAAAGAGGCACAGCCTACTGAACAGTACCCATTCGCTCTAACAAGGACCATTCTCGTAGGTGAAGGTAAAGTTTTTCTTCAAGGAGTATTGTGTAGTAAGCGGGGCATCGTTTGTCGCCTGAACCTTCTTTCATAGACAATCGCAGCGACACACGAGGAGCCGGTGTGTCTTCTCTCATTAGTACTGTCAACCTCTTTACCACCCTGATAGAGGAGGAGCACCTCAACGAGGTACCTCCGTCATTTACGAACACGCCGAATGTGTCTTGAAGAAATTCGGTCTGATCAACAAGAAGTCTATCAGGCGCTTTACGAACAGTAGCTGATATCTACTTTTGGCATGTTTGGTTCAAGTTATTCGCCCCACTGCTTGAAGCTGCTTTGTTATGAACGTAATGTGGCTGTTTAGAGCCTTGCAGTCACGTAAGAAGGCGTCGGCCAAGAGATTTGGGTGGTGGAGACGCCGCTGACAGGGCTCAGCAAGGTGGGCTCACTAAGGCTGCGTTTATACTTTGCGGCAGCGTAGCGTAGCGCTTCCAGCGTACGCCAGCGGCAGTGCCGAAGAGAGGATGCATATCGATCTAGCTTCACCAGCGGCACGCTGGCGTACGCTAGCGGCACGCTAGCGTACGCCAGCGTTTCTCCAGCGTTTCACCAGCGTTTTGCTAGCGTTTGCAGCGGCAGGGGAGTAGAGACTATGGGAGAGCTGGAGGGTACAAAACACATCGATTGCGCGTCTCTCACTCGCCCTTAGTCTCTACAATACACATCGCTTCTGCGTCTCCGACGGCCACATAGTCTCTACTATACACATCGATTCCGCGTCTCTGACGGCCACATAGTCTCTACTATACACATCGCTTCTGCGTCTCCGACGGCCACATAGTCTCTACAATACACGTCGATTCCGCGTCTCTCACGGCCACATAGTCTCTACTCCCTGCCGCTGCAAGCGCTAGCAAAACGCTGGTGCCGCTGGAGAAACGCTCGAGAAACGCTGGTGAAGCTAGATCGATAGCTATGCTTCCCGTGCCCTCGCTACGCCAGCGTGCGCTAGCGTGCCGCTGGTGACGCTGGTGAAGCTAGATCGATATGCATCCTCTCTTCGGCACTGCCGCTGGCGTACGCTGGAAGCGCTACGCTACGCTGCCGCAAAGTATAAAAAAAAAAAAAAAAAAAAAAAAAAAAAAAAAAAAAAAAAAAAAAAAAAAAAAAAAAAAAAAAAAAAAAAAAAAAAAAAAAAAAAAAAAAAAAAAAAAAAAAAAAAAAAAAAAAAAAAAAAAAAAAAAAAAAAAAAAAAAAAAAAAAAAAAAAAAAAAAAAAGACCTAACTGAATGACTCCGTCTGCTGTCGGGTCCAGGTTCGAATGACGCGTATGCGCCGCCACTTGCATTGCGCTTTCGACGTTCTGCTGCATGTAGTAAGAGGTGATCCTGCCTAGCAAAAGCTACGATTTAGCTTTTACCACAGCATCCACTGTGAAATTGCATTTTTTACCGTATACCTCAGAGAGAAAAACTATGAGAGAAGTCCAAGAGGAAGTCTTTCTTCCGGAGTAGTCGAAGTCAGTGCTTTCTGCAGAAGAGTTTGTTTACTAGTGTTCAATGAAAAAATAATACAGCCTCTTCCTTCTTGATAACAAGTGAAATTTTGTGCTCAGAACAATTCTTGGTGTCGTTCTCCAGGTGCAACGATGGCGCGTGACAGCCAAAGATTTTCGTTTATGTGTGTAAATTCAAGCAAATTTACGGAGTGCTGGTGGTGTATCTTTTGGCGCGCGCATCGTGTATGATGACTGTGAGTGTTGGAATTTTGGCATGATCTTCTCGTTCAGCTCTACCCTTACAGTGTTCCGCGAAATGTGGTCGCGGAGTGCGGCGACGAGTTGTCGCCTGCATCGACCTGGCGACAAACGCGACTGTTGCAAGTTCACGTTGTGAAGCCGTATCGCGACCAGTTGACGAACATAAATGTCGCGTGATGCACTGCCCAAGATGGAGAGGAACACCCTGGTCTGCGGTGTGTCTTTTCTATTTTCACTTTCTTCTTTAACTTTCTCCTTTTTTTACCAATCATTTTTAATCTTTTCCAATGATAACTCTAATAGCTAGTTTTATATGCTTACCAACCTATTCTGTCAAACTTCTGGATACAAACGATACTTATGGTTAACTCAGTCTAGTCAAGTGTTTCAGAGCGCAAGCAGCAATCCATCCACACCTTTCATAAGCGTCCGATTTTTCGTCCTCTAAACGCGAATAGCTGCTGTATAGGCCTCTGTAGGGGCCACTTTGCTGCGGTTCTACCATCATTAGTGGTACTCTCGTGAGAGGTCTTGTTGGAATTTCTGCAAAACCTATGCAGTAGCAGCGGGTGTCGTTTACCACTTGACAGGAGCTACAAACTCATGCACGGAGAGACGGCATAATCAACAAGAACTATTACAGTACCAGCCGGAAAGTGCAAAAATGCCCAGCCTCAACGCCGAACATCGCTCACCGCAAATTTGACGCTTCAGGCGGAGGTTTTCTTAACTCGTCCACTTTGGATCTGCCCACTCGTCTTATTTTTGCACTTCATGCTGCCTTCCACACTTCCCCATACTCATACTACTTTCACGGGTTCCTGTAATATCAATCTCGCCCCCTCTCAACTGTGAATAAGTCCCCTACATCTCGTCTGCTAGACATCTACTCACCTCTGCACATTTTCCACCGGACTCTGGCTTACCTTATTTCGAAATTATGTATATTCGGTGCACGTAGCTCTCCCTTGAAGGCAATATCTGATCGCTGGGGAAGGAAGTAGGGGGAAGGGCATCAGACACTCTTAGCTTATCTGAAATTAGCCTTGATACACACTAACCAAGCTTTCCTCGGTCTCTAAACTGTTTTGTTTTGTAGAAAGCCTCACCCGTTCAGTGTGCCCCGCAATCGGGTGAACTGCTGATCTGTCTCTCAGCATCGCCCCGCCCATTTGCCCCGCCCATTCCAAACTCGACCTGGCCTCTCTTTAGAAAGCTTTTAGGGTGTAGCCGAATTTTATGACAGATGGATAGTCTTGTTCGCTGCGGCTGCTGAGGCGTGTCAAGGGGGGGGTTGCATTTGCCGCGGCGCCAGCCCATTTTTTACAAATTGTTGTCGCTTACCCGCTTCAACAACCTAGACCAGCCGCCCTGACACGTCCAGCGTCTGCCCACCAATCTGCAGCGAAAATGACTCCACGGTGCAAACATGGTGTCGATACGGTGGGATCAAGCAAAGATGTGGTGGATGAACACCATTTTTTCCTTCTGATATTCCTCGCAGTTTTTTTTTAATTTCGAATGTTACTGATTTTTTTTCTTTGTAATCTCACTTTGACATTTTCATATTTAATGTTTTCTGTCTAGTGTTCGGCGACCTGTGGGCAAGGAGTCCGTCACAGAGAAGTGTTCTGTCAACGAGGTCGACGAATGCGAGCTCCAGACTCCGTCTGCGATTCGTTGCGTAGACCAGCCACTACCTCCAACTGCTATTTGACGGCATGTCCTGCCTATCACTGGGCTACCACAACCTGGTCCAAGGTACGCGCGGTTTTTAGCACTAACACTTAGTGGCTCACATCGCTTCAGCGTTGACGTGACTACTCACAACCGCGTTTCATCAAAATGAGCTCGGTTTAGAAGCCATACTTCATCTTCAAAGCCATATGGTGAAATGAGTATTGTGTGGTGCCGATAGTAGAAAACTAGACGTAGATTAGAACGCAGAGTCTGTACTTGGAAGTGATCTGACTTTATTCCTTTTTAGTGCGTGGATCCGTGCGCAAGGGCTGAACAACATCGGCGTGTGTACTGCGTGAATAATGCAGGAAGACGCGCCGCTCCACGTATGTGCGACGCGGCTCATGCTCCGCCCAGTAAAAGACAGTGTGATATCTCAAAGTGCCCTTATGAATGGGTTCCCGGACCGTGGAATACTGTAAGTGATTAAAAGAATTAATCCAGTGAATCTGAGGGTAACAAAGCCATTTTTAGTGTTCCAAGACGTGCGGAAAGGGCACCCAATTTCGCTTCGTAGAGTGTCGTGTTAAAACGCTTAACGCTACTAAAAACAGTGAACCAGCCGTGCCAAAAGAGGGGGTATGTATACTACTAGAGTGAAAATGAACTATGCTGGCTTTTCCAGGAAAAATGTGATGCACTTCCAATGCCCACCGAATCTCAAGAGTGCGATCTGAACGCTTGCGAATCCGAATTTCAATGGCAGATTGGACCGTGGGGAGCGGTAAGTGCTCGTTTTAAGTAGGGGGAGGGTTAGTGGGGAAGGAGATGCCAGGGTTACTTGACAAATGCGTGAAATGATTCTCGCTGCCTTGCTTCACAATAATGATCGGTTGATGATCGAATTAGGAAAAAACCAGTGGTGAAAATGTCGCGGCAGCGGGGGGCTCATTGTAACTCAGCATTCTTGTGATAAATAATCTCATTTATTGAGCACTTTATGGTGTGTTTTCAGTGCTCTCAAACCTGTGGACAAGGCGTTCGACGACGTAAAGTGCGCTGCCACAACCGTATGGGAACGTTGGTAGCACGTGGTAATTGTGAGAACAATTCGCCTCGTCCACGTCGAACACAAACTTGCTTCCAGAGAAATTGTAAGTGCCCTTATGATTCCCTGGATTCTAGGACACAGTGCTGGCAGTAGAACAACTTGTCCCACCCTGGGCAGAGGTGGTGTAAAGGCGGTACGCGGGTCACAGTTTGGACCAGCCATGCCTTCCATCTGTTCGGGATCGGCCAGCTGGGTGCCAACTGGGAGACTTGCCTGGGGAGATGGCTTATTGATTTACACATCCAGTGATTTCTGCAAGTCATTGTGCGGACCAGATTGCCTAGTGTCACTACGGTTCAAAACGAAAATAGAATACGCGTAGCACAATCCGGCTTGAGGGTAGGTACCCGTACCGCCCCCCCCACCCCTCCTAGTTCCCTCCGTTCCATGAGATCGAGCAGGGGGGAGGGAGGGTATAGCCGGGAAAAAATCTTTTCCAACGCCGCAGATTTCTCTAGGAAGACAAGTATGAGCTGCTCCTCTCAAACAATGATCAAATACGATCCCTCCCTCCTTATGGCGCTCTGGAACAAGAACCAACTATCAAAAAATTTTTCTCAGATCAACTACGACCCCATCGGTGGTCGGGGTATCCATGATGTGCCTTGTCCTGAGTTTTCTTTTTCCGAAGAAAACCTCCACTTTTCCCA